GGAGCAGCCCTGCTGCCCCTGGCTCCCTGGCAGTGCCCAAGGCCAGGCTGGATGGGGCTTGGAGCAGCCTGGGGTGGTGGAAGGCGTCCCTGCCATGGCAGAGGTGGAATGGGATGGGCTTTAAGGTCCCTTCCTAATCAAACCCTTCTGGGTTTCTGTCAAGCCTGTGTAGGACCAGCTCTTACTGGGCTGGCCCCAGCCCAGCTGTGGGATGAGCTGGAGGGAAGGCTGAGCTGCCCGAGGAGCTGGGTGTGCTCGGACCAGACAGGACCTGGAGCCTGGCTCTGCCCCTCCCCAGCCCGGGCTGCTCCCAAGAGGCTCTTGCTGGCCCTGCCTGCCAGGTGGGTAGCCCAACACCACCACATTTCCCCCAGCGATGGCTGAGGAGCTCAGTGAGCTGCTGAGGGAGTTCGACGAGGTCATGGAGGACTTCGCCCGGGGCCCTGCGAGTCAGTACCAGCAGCACCTGGAGGAGCTGAAGAGGAAAGCGGGACAGAGGGTCTATGACAGTGGCATCGATGAGCTGGAGAGTGAGTCTGGGGCTGGGTGTGAGGAGCCCTGGGGAGGATGGTGTCTGCCTGGGTGGGAGCTCCGTGGTTCCTCCATGGAACACATCTTCCTGCTGATGCTGCCTGGCTCTGCCCTGCTGGGCTGGGTGAGAGGATGACCACTGGATACTGGCCCAGGAGCTGCCAACATCTGCCAGGGCTCCTTGTGCCAGGCAGGCTGCTGCAGCACCGTGAGAGGCTGGGGATAACCCGGGTCTCTGTAACAACCCTATCCTTGTAACTGTGTCCAGACAACCTCTGGTGCTCTTTGACCTGAGAAAGAAACTCAGTTCCATTTCTCCAAGCATTCCTGGAAGCAGGAGAGGAGCAGAAGGGGTCTCCAAAAATGTGCCACCCTGTGCCATGGGCGTGACCGGGCCGTGTTCCTGCAAAGTGCTCATCAGGTGCCTGTGCCCAGGCCAGGGACTGATGCTCTGTCTCTGCAGGTGCCAGCACATCCCCAGGAAGCAGCCTCAACTCCAGTGAGGAGCACCTCAACAGCCCAGCTGACACTTATCCCACCAAAGGTGAGCCTGGCCCCACCCAAAGGGGTTTGCAGGGTTTCCTTCTCTGCGCTCAGCTGGGCTTGGCAATGGCAGCCAGCCCTGGAGAGGGGGGTGCCAATGGGGCCCTGGGGAGTGGGAGTGAGCCCCTGTGTCCTGGCAGGAGCCTGGAAGAGGCAGAAGTGGGATTGGCATTTTCCCAGCTGAGGCTGGACTGGCTGGGACAGACACAGCTGGAGCAGCTGTGCAGGAACAAGGGGTTGGGGTCTCTCTCTCTCCCCAGTGAGAGGGGGAATGGGAAGACCTGACCCTGTTTTTCCCCACTAGCAAAGCTCGGAGACACGCAGGAGCTGGAGGAGTTCATCGCAGACCTGGATAAAGCCTTGGAGGGTACATGTCCAGCCTTGATCCCTGCCCTTCCCAGGGGAGGGGACACCTGGGCTGGGCTCCCCCGCTGCCCCTGACTCGGCACAGCCTGGCCAGCACCTCCTCTGCCTGGGGGTCCTGCTGCAGGGGGCTTGCAACTTGATTATGGCTGCAGTGGTGGAGCCCTTCCGTTCTTCCTTTGGGGAGGGGTCATGGATGTCATCTCCCTCTTCCAGCTCTTTCAGCTTGGGAAGAAATTCCATGGCTTAAGTGTCTTCCTCCCCCTGCTGCCTCAGTTTCCTCAGATGAGGTGCAGTGCAGGTGCCTGAGGGAGGGGACTGGGGACATGAAGGCCAGGTTAGTCCTGGCAGTGAAGCCCAACAGCAGCAGAGCTGCTGATGTTTTTGGCAACATGCACAGAGACCTGTGGCCCTCTGCCTGCAGCCTCCCTCCAGCTGCTGCTCAGAGGCTGCACTTTACTTGGTGGGGAAGGTGAGCAGCAGCAAAAAAAGGATCTTCCCTTGTGGTGTATCCTGACCTAGCCCATCAGGAGGGAGGAGAGTGGGTCTGTGTGGTGGCAGGGAGGGCAGTCCCAGCCCGTTGGTCATGCTCTCCTCCTCCAGATGTTTCCCTCCTGGTAAGAGCCTGGGGGTGTCCCTGTGAGAGGGGGGCTGATGCTGTGCTGGGCATCTCTGGCATCTGTACCCAGCAGCTCTGGAGAATTTGGCTGCTCCCCAATGGCTGCTTTGCTGGGGAAACCGAGGCAGAAGCCACTTCCTCCCACAGGGGCCCTGCGTGACAGGCTGGAGGCAGAGAGAACCTGGTTAAAGAAACATTTCCTCCCATGCAGACTGTGTAAGGCACAGCTCTGGTATCTGTTCCCATCCCTGGTGTCCAAATTGAGGTGGCTGGTGGGAAGTGTTCCTTTGCAGGCCCAGCCATGCTGGGAAGGAGGGAGGGGACCAGAGCTGACCCCCTGCCCCAGATTTCTGCTCTAACCCTGCAGACTGTCACCATCTTCTGTGTCATCCTGCAGAGATGTGAGCTGTGCCGTGGAGTCTGGAGAGGAGCAGCCCCAGCCCTGAGTCTCCCTGATGCTGCCTCTGCTTCTGCACCCCTGGCTGGGGTGGGGACGGCTCCGGGGACAGGGATGGGCATGGGGACAGATCCGGCCGTGGGACAATGGTGGCAAGGCCCTGCCAGCGCCAGGAGAGGACAGCCCTGGGTGTCCTGGCCCTGCCCTGGACAAGGTCTGGTGGCTCTGGGGTTTGGGGGGGAGCTGGGCTGCTGCTGAAGCCCCCAGAGTAATTTTGGGGAAGATCAGCTTGCAGGACGTTAGCGTGACCCCCGTGTCCCCACCAGGCTGGGAAGCCTGGTTCCTTGGTGGCATCTGTCACTGCTGACCTTTGCTTTGCATGGGGAGCCCCAAATTGGGCCCCTCTCTGCCCCCCCCACCAAGTGCCTCTGCCCCAGCTGCTGCTGTAAATACTGTAAAAATATATTTTGTGCTGTACAGAGGGGACATGGATCTGTGAACAGGATTTTAAACCTCTGCCTCTCTGTGTCCATCTTTTTGCCATTGGCAAGAGTGGGACCAGGGATGCCTGGGGCTGCCAGCTGGTGGGACTGGCACTGGAAAAGGGGGAAACCTCAGGAAAGCAAGTTCAGCAGCATGTGCCTCCTGAAGAGGAATGTCAGAAATCTCTTGTCCTGCCTCCCCCTTGGTGCTTGGACACTGGGGTGGCAGAGGATGCAGAGTCCAGGCCTGCTCAGGGAGATGGACCACTGCCTGTCACCCTTCTGGGATGCAGGGTCCTGCTTCCAAAGGGAGATGCTCTGGTGCCACTTCCCCTGGCTATTGCCCCTCAGCAGCCCAGGAACAAGGCCCAGGGATGTGGGTTTGCAGCCCTCTGCCAAGCTGAGCTTTGAGTGAGGTTTGGCTGTGGATGATGGGTCCCCCCGGGACTCCCCTCCTGTGTTTCCCCTGGAGTTTCCCGTCCCCGGGAGGTGCCACCCTGAGCACTGAGATGACAGAAGAGGAACCTGTGGTTCTGCTCATCCCCCTCCCTCCCTGTCATCTCCACAGGAGCAGGGTCACGTGTGGCTCTGCTGTGGCTTGTCTGAGCAGGAAATGGGCAGTTTCGGTTTCTGCCCTCATCCCTGGTCCCTGGTGCTGAGCAGGAGGATGTTGGACACCCCCTCTGCCAGCCCCAGCACTCAGTGCTGCTGGGGAGGCTCTGAGCACACAGATCCCAGCCTGGTAGTGCAGGTCCAGCAGGAGGGTGGCAGGGATGGCAGGGGGACGCTCTGGGCTGTTGCTGTCCCCGTGCTGTGTGCTGTGACCACTGATGTCTGCCCCAAATGGACCCCGAGGGGCAGCCAGGAGATGAGAGTGAGTGTGTGCCAGGGTGGTGACACTCAGAAATGTCTGTGACACTCAGGGATCTGCCTGTGACCCTCTGTGAGAACACACAGCCCCCATCACTGGGGCCAGGGTGGTGTGGGGACTGTCCCACCGTGCTGATGGCAGCAACCCCCGTGTCACTGAGGGCGTTTTTCCCCTCTGAGTCACTGCACTCAGCGTTTCGCCCTCGCTGTCTTGCTCTGACTCTGGTGTTTGTTCTGTTCTGTCCTGGCCCTGGGCAGCAGCAGCTCCTCCCCAGCCCGTGCAGGAAGGAGCTTTAAACCCACCCCAGCCAGCACCATCCTGATGGGTGACAGTGACACTCGGGCTGTCACTGTCCCCAGTGACATTCGCCCCCTTCCACCCCCACAGCAGTGGCAAATGTTGCCAAGCTACAAAAATAAATATTTTCCAGCCCCAGATCTGCTGAGGCTGATAACCCCACAGCCACAGCACAGCTCTGGTGATGCTCCAGGGGTTTGTTTGTTGTGGGGGTTGCCAGGAGAAGGTTGGGGTGTCACCCCGGGCTCCTCCAGCCCCTCCGGGTGTGTGGGTGGGTGGCACCCACCCCATGGCTGAGCTGTCCCAGCCTCTCCTGCCCCAGTGACACAGACGTCAGCATCCACTCGGGTTGGGGCTGGGGGCTCAGGGGGTGTCACTGTGACTGCCTGTGCTGGCAGCAGATCATCCTAAACCTCCGTGCTGGGCTTCCCAGGGTAATGGTGGAACCCCCACCCCTGGGAATACTCAAAAAACATGGGGATGTGGCATTTGGGGACATGGATTAATGGTGGCTTTGGCTGTGCTGGGGGAACACTTGGACTCGATGGTCTTGGAGGGCTTTTCCCACTTAAATGATCCCATGATTCTGTGGCTTCTGCACATTGCTGAAACAGCTCCCTTTGGGCATGGGGGCTCTTCTGTGGGGACAGGGGGTGGATTCTTTTTCCTGGGAACCCCAGCAAGAGCTTGGGGACACACCACAGGGGCCCTGAGATGGAGGTTGTGACATCCACTGTCCCATGGAGGGACAGTTGTCCAAGGGCTGTTGTGCAGCCTGGGAGGAACCCTGACCTTGCTCCCACACTCACGGGGCTATAAGGCTGAGGGGCTGGGGGGTCCATGAGCTGGAGGCTCTGGTGTGTAGGAATGTCTGTGGGTCAGAGGGTCTGTGGCCCTGCACGTGCCCTGGAGGTACTGCAAAATCCATCAGAGCGAACACGCACGTCCTGCCATACAGGCAGTTCCTCCCCAGGGTCCTGCTCCCCACAGCAGGAAAAGCATCCAACGCAGCCCTGGCCAGGCTGGAGTGGGGCTGTGCCGCTGCACGGGGCCACCAGCGAGGCTGTCACTGCTCCCTGCTGCATCCCCGAGGGCCCCTGGCTGTTTTCTCAGAAGTGCAGCAGCGGGAAGTGGGTAACATGAGTGAGGCGGCTGCAGGAGCGTGCAGCTGCTCCCACAAGCCAGCCCGGCTCCCCCAAGCCCGGCTCACATAAGCCCAGCTCCCCCAAGCCCGGCTCCCCCAAGCCCGGCTCCCACAAGCCTGGCTCCCCCAAGCCCGGCTCACATAAGCCCAGCTCCCCCAAGCCCGGCTCCCCCAAGCCCGGCTCCCCCAAGCCCGGCTCCCCCAAGCCCGGCTCCCCCAAGCCTGGCTCCCACAAGCCTGGCTCCCACAAGCCTGGCTCCCACAAGCCCAGCTCCCAGCCACAGCCCACAGGGGTGTTTGCTGGCGGAGCAGGCGCTGGCTCCCACACATTTCCTCCCCTGGTCCCCAGGCAGCCCCTTTTCCAGGCTGGGGGATGCAGCTCTGGCTTGGAGCAGACCTCCTGCCTTCCTGGGGACCCAGATAGACCTGCTGGGACATGGATGTGACAGCTTCTTGGAGATGGCCCCGTGTCATGTCTTTCCTGTTCTGCATGGAGGGCACCACTGTAGGGACCCCCCCCGGGCAGGGGTTGCCTGTACCTCCCTGCTCTCCCCCCTCTCGTTTCCCCAGGAAAAAGGGATGGAGGGATGCATCCCTCAAGGCAGGACCACCATGTCCATACCAGGGGCTGATGGAGCTGGGGAAGCTCTCACCCTGCCGAGGTGTGATGTTCCTCAGTGAAATTGCTCCCACCTGGATCTCCCCAGCCACTGAGGGGGCAGAAAGATGAAGAGAAGGAGGAGTTCCCCTAAAAGAATTTGTTGTCACTCTGCAATTTGGAGAGGAACCTCAGCTCTCTGGGGAGGGGAAGTCCCCAGCTGCCCAGACCGTCTGGCTGTGATTGTGAAAGAGGCTGTAGCTATTTTGGGAGACAACCTAACCTCAGGGATGTCACAGGCTTTCTGTCCTGTAAAGCCCCCTCACATATTTTTCTGGGATCCCAGAATGGTTTGGGTTAAAAGGGACCTTAAACCCCATCTTGTTCCACCCCCTGCCATGGGCAGGGACACCTTCCACTGTCCCAGGCTGCTCCAAGCCACATCCAACCTGTCCTTGGACATGTGCAGGGATCCAGGGGCAGCCACAGCTGCTCTGGGCACCCTGTGCCAGGGCCTGCCCATCCTCACAGCCAAGAATTTCTTCCCAGTATCCCATCCATCCCTGCCCTCTGGCAGTGGGAAGCCATTCCCTGTGTCCTCTCCCTCCTTGTTCTTGTCCTAAGTCCCTCTCCAGCTCTCCTGGAGCCCCTTTGGGCTCTGGAAGGGGCTCTGAGTTCTCCCTGGAACTTCTTTTACCCCAAGTGAGTAGTCCCAGCTATCCCAGCCTGGCTCCAGAACAGAGGGGCTCCAGCCTTTGGAGCATGGAGGGATTTTTGGATTTTTCCACATTTACAGGACAGGGAGAATTTGGATCCTTTTGGGTTTGCCAGGGCTTGCTGCTGCACCCCAGAGCTGGGAGGATCCTCCGCAGTGCTGGGATTTCACCGACTCCTGGTGTCCCTGGGGAGCCTCTGGGTGACCCAGGGGACAGCAGAGCTGCCCCTCCCAGGGGTGCCAGCCCCCACAGACGGAAGGAGAAGCCTCCCCCGAGTCCCCGGTGAGGTTCAGAGCATGGCGGGCGCTGTGATCTGGGCTCGGTGTTGCTTCCTCCGGCCTGTTCCCCGCTCAGCCTCTGACCTCATCCAAAGAGACAATGGCAGTGACAGTGGCCAGCACGGTATCCTGTCCCCTGGTGTCCCCCCGGTCCGGTCACTTCCCGAGATTGTTCTGCTCCCCTGGCCGGGGCTGGCCGCGCTGTCCCCCGGGAGCGGCCAGGGATGAGCCGCACGTGCCGGTGGCCGCTGGAGCTTTGCTGGGCTGGGGCACGGGATGGAGCAAGGAGAAGCCATGCTGCCCCTGACCTCCCTCCTGCCACCCCCTGCCCCGTCAGGAGCTGTCCTGATGCCACCAGCCCTGCTGCCATCCCTCGGTGTGACAGTGCCGAGCCTGAGCTGGGTCAGGGCGAGCTCAGGGAGCAGCAGGGTCGTGGCAGAACCGGGCCAGGCTCCCTGCTGGCTGAGTGGCATTAACCTCACAGCTGAACCCATTAATCCAATTCCAGGAGAATCCAGCCCTGTGCCACCACTCCCTGCCTCCAAGCTTCCATTCAGGCAAGGGCTGAGCCTGCAAATACCCTCCTCACCATAATCCCCCATTTCCGTGCCCAGAGGCCAGCAGCTTGCTCCAGCTTTGGACGTGGAATATCTGCTTGTTCCCATACAATTCTTTGTGTTTTGGGAGCACAGTGCCCAGCCATGCTCCTTCCTCGCTGTGTCCCACCTGTCCCTCCCGTGTCCTGCCTGTCCAACTGCTGTGGGGAATGTTTAGATTGTAAAGTTCAGCTTGTGAAGCTGAATACTTCAGATTGCAGTTTTCAGCTTTTCCCATTTGGCTGTGATAGTTACTTTTTTTTTTTTTTTTTTAGAATCCAAGATTAGTTTGGGCTGGGAGGGAACTTTAACATCCTATTCCACCCCCTGTCATGTCAGGAACATCTTCCACTGTCCAGGTTGCTCCAAACCCTGTTCAACCTGGCCTTTGACACTTCTAGGGATCCAGGGGCAGCCACAGCTGCTCTGGGCACCCTGTGCCAGGGCCTGCCCACCCTCAGAGGGAAGGATTTCTTGCCAATATCCCGTCTACCCCTGCCCTCTGTCTGTTTGAAGCCATTATTCCTGGCTCTCTG